TGGCTGTGGGGCCAGAGCTGCTCTGATCACTGACTGTGGTTCCTCAGGGATCCCCCGCCAAGGCCCATTCTGCCCTTGGCGTGGATCACCAGGCTCTGTTGGTGTCTTCTGCAGTCAGGCAGTTCTCTGACATGCCCACATAGTGCTGGCCTGGGCCACGTTGGCACTCTATCCCGGCACCACCTCGACCAGCACACGTGTGTTTATCTGCAGCCTGCTGCGGCAGAGTGCCATGAAAGCAGCCACCCCCATGCCTCACCACCTGCACACATCCTCCTGGTGGGCCGACAGCAACAGGGCCTTGCTTACTCGTGTGCGCCGCCAGGCCTATGCACGCCTCTACCCAGTGCTGCTGGTCAGGCAGGACGGCTCTACCATCCACATCCGCTACAGGGAGCCTCGACGCATGCTGGCGGTGAGCAGCCTCCACCTGGCACTCTCTGGTGCCTGCCTGAGGGCAGAGGAAGTTGTGGGGGTGAGGAGCTGTGGTCACTGTACTGCACTGCATGCAGGGAGCAGGTTGTTTTAGGAGAGGAGGGTTTAGACCCAGAACTCACTGCAAGTGCCAAAATCAGATGGGATTAACAGGCTGTGTGCTTTTTTAAAAAATCGAATTTAGGGAAAAGGAGCAGAATTAAAATTTTAAAAAACGAAAGCTTTGAAGGGCAGGAAGCACCAACAGAAAATACACAAATTGAGCTAGTGTAAGATGGAAGACACAGTTGAGAGGAAGGCTGGGGCCATCATTTCAGTAGCTCTGGCATTCTCCCAGCCACATGGATGCACCCTGGACTCTCCCCCCACAGATGCCCATAGACCTGGACACCCTTTCTCCCGAGGAGCGCAGGGCCAGGCTCCGGAGGCGCGAGGCTCAGCTCCGGCCGAGGAAGGAGGAGGAGCCAGAGCCTGTCGACAGTTTTGATGTGGAGCGTTACAGACGGTTTTGGACCAAGACCAAGAAGTGACTGCAGCTTGTAATGACCCAGGGACATTGTGAAAACAGGAGGGTGTCCATCTTTAAATTAATTTTAAATTATCTCCTGTTATTGTCTTCCTTCTCAGTGTGTGCCTGGCCCTACAGCTCGACTTCCTGGAAAACATCAGCTAAGAGGGGGCTCTGGGGCTCAGAGCAGGTGAGAGGGGTTTAGGATTGGTTTAGGTCAAACCTGTGGGATTTGGACACTGCTACGGGGCCATGGCACACATGGACTTCTGGGCAGGGAGTTACCATCACCCCCAGCTCTGCCTTCCCAGCCTCAGGAGAGCCTGGGGTTACCGCTTTCTGGATGGAACACAGTGGCCCTGAATAGCCAGATATTCCAGGATGTAGGGACCATCCAGAGCATAGCCTGCAGCCGGCCTCCCCAGCATTCCCTTCCCTGGATTTTCCCTAATGAGGCTGCCCCAGGGGAGTGGACAGGCCTGGCTGTCTCCCAGTCTAGTCTGCAAAGTATCCACATATATGCAACTGGGCCTTCCACAGTCTGCCATTACTTTGTGTTCCTGGAGTTGGTTTCACATTCCACTGGCTTCTACCAGACAGAAGAGTGCATATACTACACAGACACGCCAGACCCAGGCCTGGGGCTGCCCCTTGTCCCCATCCTGTGGCATCGCAGGGCCTGGCTACCAAGCTGTCTCCCTTTCACCTTAGAGCCAGACACATTCAGTGGGATGATCTGGGATGAGGTGGGCATCAGCAGTCTGTGTGGGCTTGCAGCACAAGGGGCTGGGTAGGGCCCTACCTCACAGGCCCTTCCCTCCTCAGCCCTCTTGCCCCTCCCCCAGCTCCACGGAGCAGAGCCTGGACAAGGACACCCATTTGTTCCACATGGTTACTGCATGAACAGCCTTCCTCAACCTATGTTCCTCCAGCCACTGCTCCGGTCCCTGCTAGCTTTGGGCTGGCCACCCAGCTGCACTGTCTGCTTTTGCTCTGTCCCATGCCCCCTTCCTCCAAGGTTGCAATGGCTTCACTGTGCCCAGCCCTCCTTGTGCTGCTGCGCATCTCTGGCGCCCTCCACCCTCCTCAGTCCAGCTTATTGCCATCTACATACACTGATGATGCCTCTGCCCAGAACACTCCAGCCAGTGCACCCTCCACCCATGCCCCACCTCTTCCAGTGACCAATGGCTTGTCTGGCTTATAGGCACATGGTAGAAAGGGCAGGGGAGCTCTCGGGGTGGGGGTGGGGGTGTCCATTTTCTAAGGATACTACTTCCATTCATGAGAGCTTCAACCGTATGACCTAGTCACCTCCTAATACCGTCGCCTTGGGGGTTAGGACTTCAACATACGAATTTGGAGGGACAAACATTCAGACCATAGCAAGTGGGGAGGGTAGCCGAGGCTGCCATGTGGATCTAGCCCAGGGTAGAGTGCACGGAAGACATCTGGGTGGCTGCTGTTTTATCCAAACGTTTTACTGGCTAATATAGAGAAAAGTACACAAATCATTAAGTGCGTTAACTTGCTTAACTCTGATACGGAATCATCAGCTGACAGTTACAACCAGTGACTCAAGCAGTGCCAAATAACGGTGTTAGGCGCGTCTTCCAGCAGCTTCTTGGGTGCTGCAGGCTTCCTTCTCCGCTTGCCCCATCAGAACAAAATATGGTTAAGTCTTGCTTCTCAGTTTTAAGTTTTTAGTAAAGCCACAGTACCTTAAGGTGAACGCGCCCACTGTGGCTGGCACCAGCTCCTCCAGAGCAGGTCAGAGGTGCCTGGGCTTAGGAAGCCTTCCATTTCATTCTGTGCCGCGTTCTACTACCCTCCCTGCAGGGGGCAGTGACCTGTGTTCTCTCGTGACTCTACTGCGACCCACATCAGGTGTAGCCCAGCCCGTACTTTGGCTCAACGCGAACCTCGCTGTCGTATCGGGTCTGTACGGTGGGCTGGGACCCCCGTCGTTGAGCAACGCTTGTAATGCGCGGGTTCCGTCCACCGTACTCCCGAGTTTTCCCGGAGGCACCGAGGACGGGCCCGCAGCTCCGACCCTCGTCCCCACACACCGCGGGCAGCCTCGGGGCATTGCGGCCGCCCCGGCACTGGCGCCCCCTCACTTGTTAGGGGGGATTCCTAA